CATCCCGCGGAATCTGTGCTATTGTCAGCTCACTCATCCATTTGCTCGGGTGTTGGCGCATTGCACCACCATAGAGTCAGATCAATTGGGAATCGCACCGTCAGTTGCTTCTGCTTCGCCGCAATGTGTGGGCTGACAGGCTCGTCGAATTGGTACAGACACTTGGTCAGCGTGCCCGGGGCGTAGCGCCGGATGTGTCTGGGCTAGTAGTGAGCGGGATGAAACTTGGGGCTGGGGGCCTTGATTTATGTCGTACCGGTCATCTGCATCGTCTAATGGACCGGTTGATACGGGTTTCAAGAACGCCGCGGGCGATTGAGAGTTAAGACGTTGGATGGCGTTGCAAAGAACGGTGGATACAATGGTCTTGCCGACGTCGGTGTTGGCACCGTAGACCTGGTGGGCGCGCAGGGAACGCCAAAGGGCGGCACCGACGGGGGGCATGGGAGGCAGCCAGGGGAGGAATTAGAGGATAGGAGAATATAAGGATAGTAAATATATATGAAGAAGTAAGGGGACAGGAAGGGATCAAGGAATTGGTACTTTATTATGTACCAAGTAAATGGCTATCACGAAAGTCACTCTCACTCTTTTTACTAAGATAAGGCGGATTGACAGCGGGATATGCAACCTGCAAGGCGGAAAATAGCCGAGGCAATCAATGAGGCACTCAGGCAGCGGGCCACTATTCCTTAGGCATCCAGCCAGAATCTAAAATAATCAACATAATAATATAATAAAACTGGGCAGTACTTTAGTTAGCACGTAGCAGTCAATTAATCTACCAACTAACTAACTGGTTAGTTTACCCTCCCCACCGGTTGAATCCTTGATCTTCCCAACAGTAGTCTAGTCAACCCACAACATCCGCCGAACGGGTTCAATTTCTGTTATGTTATGTGATTTCAGTGCCGCATCTTGCTTGTCCTTCTCCGTCCCGAGGTATCCATCCATTTCCCACCTTTTTTTTTCTTCCCTTGTCTCTCCTGGATCAACTCCGACAGCCCCATAACGCTAGAGAGCCACCAGAAAACCAATGGAAAATCTGGCAGCTCAGGCAACCAGCCCATTTGTTGTGATTACGGAGATTACTATGTCTCCCGATGGCTGGCTAAGGCCAATTCCACTACTACTAATCCAATTGAACTCCGTCAGGCACACGCCCTGCTGGATGGATGGGATCCACCCGGTAATCAGTTGGCAGTTGGTGTGAAAATCCCCTCTCTCTCTCCACGCCTTTCCGGTGTGATGGGAAACTAAATTGATTAGTCTAGTTCTGTTTGGTAAGGAGAACGGCGGAGATCTGGCCGGATTTCACATTCGTTTTATCTATCTGTATATCTAGCTATCTAGTGTCACATTTCCCCCGGAGATAGTGTTGATACTATACTTGATATTCAATTTCATTCTCAACTTACTACTTACTGACTCACTCAGTTCAATTCAATTCCTCTCTCATTTACTCTTCCTCTCCTTCAAACAGCAATTACTATACCCAATTGCCCTCCCTCACCCTCCCCTCACATACACATACACATACACAATGCCCTCCTCCACACCCAATCCCACCCTCCTCACCTCCCTCCGCACAGCCCTCCAACACCGCAAATCCAAGAACTCCCTCCGCCGCCTAACCCTCGTCCCCCCCACCTCCACCGACTTCTCCTCCAACGACTTCCTCTCCCTCAGCACCTCCCCCCTCTTCCGCGCCCGCTACACCAGCCACCTCTCCAGCGCACCCCCCTTCTACCCCTTCGCCTCGGGCGGCTCCCGCCTCCTAACCGGCAACTCCCCCTACGCCGAAGCCCTAGAGACCTTCATCGCGAGCTTCCACAACGCCCCCAGCGGGCTGCTCTTCAACTCAGGCTTCGACGCAAACGTAGGCGTGCTCTCCTGCATCCCGCAACCAGGCGATGTCATCATCCACGATGAGTACATCCATGCAAGTGCGCACGAGGGGATGCGGTTATCCCGTGCCGGGAGGAAGGTTCCCTTTGCGCATAGCTGTCCCCAGTCCCTGGAAGATGTGCTAAGAAGGGAAGTTGAAAATGATGAGAAATTGAGGAGTGGGGAGCGGAACGTCTTCATCGTCATCGAGAGTATATATAGTATGGATGGGGATATTGCGCCGATAAGGGAGTTCGTGGAGGTGGTGGAGAGGGTGGTGAAGAGTAAGGGAAATGCCAATGCGTATTTTATTGTGGATGAGGCGCATGCTACCGGGGCTTTTGGGCCAAGGGGTGCCGGCGTCGTGCAGGAGTTGGGGCTTGAGGAGAAGATGTTTATTCGCGTGCATACGTTTGGGAAGGCGTTGGGGAGTCATGGTGGTTAGTGGTTTATTCATTCCTGTTTGGTGTTGGGTGTGGGTGTGTGGGGTATACTGACTGACTGAATTGGATAGCGATTGTGCTCTGCTGCCCCGATACACGCGAATACCTCATCAACTACGCCCGCAGTCTCATCTACACTACTGCATTGGGGTTCCCGTTTCTGGCGTCGATTCGGACGGCGTATGAGATGTTGGCGGAGGGGGAGACTGAGGAGGTATGTTACTACTATCCCTAAGGCTTACTTTTCATTGAGTGGAGTGTATAGCTGACTAACTGTACCAGTTGCAACGCAATCTGCAACACCTCATTGAATACCTAGGCAATCGTCTAGATGCCCTCGGGTCCTGGGACCCAGCTATCTTCGAAGTGGACCATTTCCCGCGCTCGCCTATCTTCTCGCTGCGCAGTCCGGTGCCGCGCCAATTGGCGGCTGCGTGTCAGCGGAAGGGCTTCATGGTGCATCCGATTATGTCGCCGACGGTGCCCAAGGGGAAGGAGAGGGTGAGGGTGTGTTTGCATGCGGGGAATACGGTCGAGGAGATTGATGGGTTGGTGGAGACGATTTTGGCGTGGTTGAATGGAAGGGAGAGTGAGAAGAGGGTGGCGAGGCTTTAGTTCAGTCGGTTTATCTCTTGAGATATATCGGGGGTGATGGGGGGATGCATTGGGCTGTACATATTATTAATTGCATTTAGGAAATATTTTATCATATCATATCAAGCCATGCTGTAATCCCAGTCCTGTAACTCCTTGGCCATATTCCTATTCCCCCCTCCCTTCCAGTGTAAACTCCATGTAAGCCATGAGAAGCGTAGTTCCGTGGATATCCTGCCAGTTACAAAGAAAATAAACTCCCGTGATGCATTCTATCCCTCCTTCCAGTTTCCTGCTACTCCATCACCTAGTGAATCCAGTAGTTGCGGCAGGTCGGGCAGGTCGGCTCCAGGGTGTCAAAGGTGTCGAGCCACTGTTCCAAGCATGCCCGGTGGTAGTTGGTTCCGCAGAATCCCCGGCACCAGACCAGCAAGCTGTGATCGTAGTCCGGGCCGGCAAGCTCTTCGTCTACATTCACTGTACGTTAGCACTGTTCAATCATCAAGTTAATGAAGTCAGGAATCTTACCGTCCATCTCCTCCCAGTCATCATCCTCATCGTCTTCGGTTCCCTCATCGTCGGACATGTCGCAGCGCATGCTCTCATCCAGATAGGGGAGAAGACAGATTCCACAGTCGCCATCCACGGGGCGCGGCTTGACCCGTTGAGGCTTCGGAGACGTAGGGGAGTCGCAGTACATCGACACAGTGCTTTCTCCAGACGGTATCGGTCTCGGGGCTGTTTGATGGGCGGGATGGGTATGACCCGAAGCGATCAAGGTGCTGCTGACGAGTTGGACCGCCGGGGTGTGGGAACGATGATGGAACGCAGAATTGGCGTGCGGAAGAGGCGAAGCACTGCCGGAAGCTGAAGCTGGCATAGTGGTAGCAACGGAATCACCCGCAGGACGGACGATCTCGACTCGGGGTCTTGAGTTCTGCGGGTGATGATGGTTCGCGCCCATCCCGACCATGCCATGCTGGATGGTGATTCGGCTCGATGAGCTGGGCCCATGATGGCTGGTCGTCAGGTTGGTGACCGCAAGTCCACTACCCGTGGCCATGATGGTGGGATTGGGCGGCATATGAAGGTAGCTGTTCGACATGGCTGTGGTGGATTCAGCAGATCGCTCAGCTAGATACCGCTGCAGTTTCGCCTTCCACTGTTCGACCAGGTCCAAAAATTGGTATTGGTGCTGGTTGGGGCAGAGCAGAAGACTGGCAAGTTCGGTGAGAATTGGATGAACGGCGGATATGGAAGAGGTTGCTGTGAAGATCTGGGTGCCTCGTTCGATCACAGTGTACGCTTCGTCACGCTTCTGATAGCTGATCAAATTGTTACACCGGCGATGGTAGGAGTGCGAGACACCGACACAGTGGTGATCAGCTGCAGGGTTAATTTTCAGAATGTCAGCCAACTGATAACGAGAGGCAGACGCCATGACGACGGCGGGGTGATTAGTCGCTGACGGGGTGATTAGTCGGCCAGGGGGGAAGAGGAGACGAGGGGAGAGAATAACGGTGCAGACGGTGCAGACGAGGTTCACGAGTAGCACCGAAAGAAGCGAGAACAGTGAATGGAAGTGAATGAAAGGGGACGTAAAGAAAGCGCCACGACAGCAGAGGGGCACCCATGTGGTCTGGGTCATCATTTCTCGTACCTGATTGCTAACTATGCGGAACTAAGCTTCAAGGCCCGATGAAAATGTAGGCGAACAGCACCAGGCACCAAATTCGGGATGGACTCCGGAAAGTGGATGTTGGAAGATGACGATGAGGAGGAGAAAGGCGTAGATGAAAAGGAAGATGGGATGGTAGGGATGGATGGACTCATGCTTATGCCATAATGGCTTCAGCGCAACAAAAAAGCGGAAGACTCCGAGATTCCCTCGGCGCGTGATCGAGGGGTTTGGCTGAAGGGATGCAATCCCGGTTGAATGGTTGGTTGGATGGTATAGTTGGATTGATAACACTCTTTCTTGCTTGTCGGGATAAATGCTTTTATCTGCTTTTTTATCATCTGCTGTCTTCCCCCTCCTTCCTTTCTCCTCTTTCCTTCCCCGCACGTGGTCCAGATCACATTGTCAACTTTCCATCTGCCCATCACCACCACTCATATTCCATCTCCCACCTCCCCCCATGGATACTTCCCGAGACGTCCCAGACATTCTTATCGTGGGTGCTGGCATCTTCGGGGTCAGCACAGCCTACCATCTCGCTCAGCAGCTCGAGCGACCGTCACAGATCGTCCTGTTAGATCGCGCCGCCCCGCCATCCACCCCCGCGGCATCTACCGATATCAACAAGATCATTCGTGCCGACTACACTAACCCTCTCTACGTCGCTTTGGGATTCGAAGCTATTGAACAGTGGAAGTCGCTGCCATTCTTCCAAGAAGCACAAGTCTACCACCCCTCGGGATGGATCGCCTTGGAGGAGAAAGATAGCGATGTCCCCGCATTGATAAGGAAGAACTTCCGCGATTATGGTCGCGGCGACGTCATCGAGGAATGGTCCGAAGAGAAAGTCCGTCACGCATGGGGTGGGCTACTCGAGAAGACAGACTGCTCCCCATTTGGCTCATATTACTATAATTCTTCTGCTGGCTGGGCGGACGCAGGAAAAGCATTGCAGCTGATGGCACAAGAGGCGATCAAGCTGGGTGTCCGATATGAGGTTGGGGAGGCGCGCAGAATCGTTCGTGATGAAAATGGAGTCAGTGGTGTTAAAACAGCAGACGGTACCATCTACCATGCTCGAAAGGTCTTGTTGGCCACAGGGGCATGGACAAGTCAGCTCATGTCCTCGGTGGAGGATGACTTGGACCTGCCGGGACCAGACCGAGTAGAGCAGCAGGTATCAGCAGCAGGAGTGACAGTCTCGCACTTTCAACTCTCGTCAGAGGAAAAATCCCGCTACTCGCAGCTGCCGGTATTTGTCTACGGAGGGGAAGGTGGGTTATATCCTGGCCCGGCGTGGACAAGCTGACACATCCAGGCGAGGTCATTCCTCCCACTGCAGAGGGGATCCTCAAGTTTACTACCGCCGCTTCTTTCAGGAACACCATCCGCACGGCGTCCGGACATGAAATTTCGGTGCCGCTGGTAGATCAAATTCATGTGCCTGAAGCATTGCAGGAAGATCATCTGCGCGCCATTCGACCTCGTCTGCCACAGTTTCTTGGGGAGCATCCCCGTCCCGACTACTGGCGCATATGCTGGGATGCAATCTCGCCCAGCCAGCATCCGCTAATCACCCGCCATCCAGATGACCGACTGTCCAACCTCTATTTCGCAGTAGGGGGATCATTCCATTGCTACAAGTTCCTCCCGACCATTGGCAAATACGTGATCAACGTATTGCATGGGGTGTCGAATGGACGCGAAAAAGACGAGGCCTGGACGTGGAAGGAGCATCACCCGGATGAAAGAGGAGTGCATGCGCGATTGGTCCCGGGGAGAGAGATTCGAGATGTTGTTTAGAACATACATGATGCAGACTGGTGTTTGCTCTAATCATAATCGGCGGCTCAGGCTTCCGCAACCGGACAAGCTTGAACCAGGAGAAACAACTCTTTACCGAGAGAAGTATATATCACACTGCATCATCCCCCTTGCGTGCACTACAGCGACCAAAAGGGAATTCCTTTGATGATTTGTCACCACTCTTTCCTCCGATCTACGCCCCACCTAGCCACAAGATAATGCACAATGCCATGGTAGCCAGCTAGACAGCTAGACAGCTAGGAACAGCATCGTACGTGTTCCATAGGAGATAAAACAAAGTAACCGATCCGTTGGGGCAAAACACTGGGTCACTGCCAGACCTGGTGGGAACCGCAACGTTGAACCTCCAGAATTATGGATCCTGAAGAAGCTTCGCGACCCACTCTGTTCCAAACATTCCTCCCTCTCCCCCCCCAAAAAAGCAATCTGAAGGCCAGCTGTTTGACCCGAGGTTGAGAACGAGAGAGAGGAGGAACTGGCCGCACCCCCGCCGCTTGAGCCCTTGGGACAACCGTGATTTGCTCCGCAGCGCCTCCTGCATATTATCCGGATGCGGAGAGACACACATAGTAGCCTGGACCGAGGATGTGGTCGGCAATGAAATCTATCTACTCCATGTCTTCCCCTCATATCCTGGTAATTAATCTAGCTCCATAGCATTCAGTTATTCCTCTCACAGCATTTTTAGCGACATATCTCAAGTTGGAAACCGGCCTGACCATGGCGTTAGGTGATCTCTCCTTACACCCTTGACATATAGTCTATGTACATCATGTAGCACAGCACTAACATCAATGGCATCACCGCGCAGCAACATCAACAGGAGCCGCAGCCATCGCTCTAGCCGCCTACCTAGATGCCAAATTCCACCTCACCAACGATGCATCCAGTATGCTAGCCCAGCGGCGCTCCCTCCGCGACACAGCGAAAGCCGCCGCACAAGGCCAACTGAGCATGTGGCCCGTCTTCGTCGCCACGGCATCGCAGTACCCCGACATGGTCTGTATTTGGACACGGGAACAGTCCTACACATACCGGGAAGCCCTAGCCGCCGCAGCCCGGTACGGCCACTTCTACCTGTCGAAGGGGGTGCAAAAGGGCGACCTGGTGGCGTTCTACCTGCAGAACCGGGCGGAATTTATGTTCGCCTGGTTAGGGCTCTTAAGCATCGGATGTGCCCCGGCCACAATCAACTACAACCTGACTGGCGATGCGCTGATGCATTGCCTATCCATCAGTGGCGCCAAGCTGCTGCTGGTTGACCCGGAGCCTGAATGTATGGCTCGTATTGAGGCGCGGAGATCGACGATCGAGAATGAGCTGGGTATGCAGCTCGTAACTGTTGACGATGCATTTAATAACCATTTGCTTTCGTTTCCGGCTTCTGTGCCGATGAACGGTCAGTTGGCCTCCCACGTCCCTGGCGAATTTCCCGCCATCCTCCTCTACACCTCCGGCACGACCGGCCTGCCCAAAGGCTGCGCCTTCACAACCTCCCGGCTCTATGCCACTCAGGCCATTCGCAACAGTAACATAACCAACGTGTCCGGCCCCGGCGGGGACAGGTGGTACAGCGCGATGCCGCTGTACCACGGGACGTCAGCGATCGCCATGATCAACAACATAGTTGGCGGACGAAGCATCGCCATCGCGCCGCGATTCAGTGTGCGCAATTTCTGGCCCGATGTCCGGGCATCTCAGGCCACGGTCTTCGTGTATGTCGGCGAAGTAGTCCGGTATCTACTGGCCGCACCGCCATCCCCCCAAGACCGGGAGCACGGGGTGCGCATGATGTACGGGAACGGTCTGCGGCCGGACGTCTGGGAGCGGTTCCGGGAGCGGTTCGGGGTGGCGGAGGTCGGGGAGTTCTTTAACAGCACGGAGGGGGTCTTCGGGCTGTTTAACCTCAATCGCGGGCCGTTCACGGCGGCGGCTGTCGGGCATCATGGGTTGTTATTGCGGACAAGTTTGAGGAATACATATGTTCCTGTCGTGGTGGATGCAGAGACGGGGGATGCGGTGCGTGATGAGAAGACGGGGCTGGTGAAGCGGGCGCCGTATGATGAGGGCGGGGAGATACTGGTCAAGGTGCCAGATGAGAAGGCGTTTCAGGGGTATTGGAGGAACGAAGCGGCGACGAAGAAAAAGTTCATGCGCGATGTCCTGGCGAAAGGGGATTTGTGGTATCGGTCTGGGGATGCACTGAGGCGGGATGGGGATGGGAGGTGGTATTTCCTCGATCGGCTGGGGGATACGTTCCGGTGGAAGAGTGAGAATGTGTATGTCTATTCTTACTATCCCTTGCTTTGTGCTTATTTGTCATCGTGGTTGGTGTTGGCTAATGGTTGATTATGCAGGTCCACGGCAGAAGTGGCCCAAGTACTGGGCCGGTATCCTGGCATCCAGGAAGCCAATGTGTATGGAGTGAAAGTGCCTCATCATGAAGGCCGCGCAGGATGTGCGGCCTTATTGCTCAGTCCTGAGGCCCGCAGCGGGTTTGACGGGCAAGAACTGGCCCGGTTCGCGCGTGCACAGCTGCCGCGGTATGCGGTGCCGGTGTTCTTGCGCGTCGTGGAACAGTCATGGCATATTCATAACCATAAGCAGAACAAGGGGCCGCTGCGCCAGGAGGGCGTGGAGCCAGCCAAGTTGGGGTCGAAGGTGGTGCAGGGCCACCGCGACCGGCTGTTTTGGTTGCCTCCGGGGTCGGAGGGCTACATAGAGTTTGGTGAGAAAGATTGGCAGCGTCTCGCGGGGGGTGAGGCGAAGTTGTAAATAGTAGGCAGAAGCGTATATATGATGATTCATGACCATGCTAATCCATTAAAGCCATTTTGGACGTCATATTCATGTTTTGGTACGATCGCGATCGGGGGACTGACTCGTGCAGAAGACTGGTCAGATAGCAACCCTAGTCAACCAACAGATGATACCAGAGATCTCTACCAAGTACTCCGTACAACCAGAGTACTCCGTACTGTTCCCGACCATGGCAGCAGCAGACAGCGATCGCACCACGGGATGCCCAAAGCATCATCCCTTGCAGATCAGCACATCTTGCCCTGATTTGTCCGGAGGGAACGTCCGCCGGCCCATCCGTCAGTCACCGCTGGACCAGCGCCCGCTTCGGTTCTAGACTATCACTGACTAGGTAGTTAAATTGTCTGTCAGCATCAGGACTATTCCTTTCTCTTGACCGCTAGCGACCGCGACACGAGGCCCGCTAAGCATTGCACGGGATGATCGGATGCACGAGGAGAGGGGAACAGAAGATCAAGTAGAAAAAAAACCACGCATGCGCTGGGGAGGAGCTTAAGCTGCAGGTCGGATGGATCCTGAATCAGGATGGCTTGGTTTGAGTCTGCAAACTAACTAGTCAACTAATTCTCTAGTGGCAAAGACTGACGAAACACCACGCGATAGTCAAGCCCTAAGCCTTTTCTGCCTGGTGCATGCTGATGGCTTCATCCATGAGGAACAGACAGACAAACAGACAGACAGACAGACCCTCTTGGAGTATCCGCTGAGTCACTTAGTGGGTATTCTTGTCTGCCTGTCTGATTGTCACCTCCACCCCAGTGCTCCACTTGCATGGCATCTCAAAACAACTTCCACCATGGAACATTCTCCGCAACTGCTGCTGCTCACTGCTCGGTAATTTCCCCTGGATTAGCGCGTCGGTCATTCTTCTTCGGTTCTTCCTGCCACGCGATGGCTGCCACTCCACCACAGGGCACGGCTCCTCTTATAAACCCGCTGGCATTCCTGTCATCCCCATCTCGGATTCCCTCCACCTGCACCTATCCGTCATGTTCTCGGGCCTTGTACTGCTCCTAGCCAGCCTCGTGGCCCTGCTGTCGGCCGTAGGGAATGCAGCCGTGACCATCCAATCCTCCAACACCACCTGCCGCTGCTTCCCGGGGGAGAAATGCTGGCCCTCACTAGCGGAATGGACTCAATTCAACAAATCCATCGACGGCCGACTAATCCAGACCGTCCCTCTCGGCAAGCCCTGCCACACTCCCTCCTACCAAGCAGGGGTGTGCGACTACCTTCGCGAACAATGGACGGAGCCCGAAATCCAGTAAGCTTTTTTTTGTCTTGGGTCAGGCTGACTCGCAGCCTCATCCTTGCAAAAGCAAACACATCCACTAACCGAGTCAAGCTATGAATCGTCCTCTTCCATTATGGCCCCCTGGTTCGCCAACGGCTCGTGCGATCCCTTCCACCCCATCGCCAAGCCCTGTACCCTGGGCAACTACATCGTCTATGCCGTGAATGTCAGTCAGCCCAGCCACATATCACGCGCTCTGGCTTTCGCAACCGCGCACAACCTCCGCGTCGTCGTCCGCAACACCGGCCACGACTATAACGGCAAATCCACCGGCGCCGGCGCCCTCGGCATCTGGACCCATCACCTCAAGGACATCGACATCGTCGACCACCACGATTCCCACTACTCCGGTAAGGCCATCCGTCTGGGAGCCGGCGTCCAGGGCTACGAAGCCTGGGAGGCTGCCGACGCTTACGGCTACCAGGTCGTCAGCGGCGAGTGCCCGACCGTCGGCATCGCGGGCGGCTACTCCCAAGGCGGCGGCCACTCGGCCCTGTCCTCGCGCTATGGCCTCGCCGCGGACCAAGTCCTGAAATGGGAGGTCATTGACGGCACAGGACGCTTCATCACTGCTACCCGCGACAACGAATACAAGGACCTGTATTGGGCCTTGAGCGGCGGCGGTGGTGGCACTTACGGCGTCGTTTGGTCCATGACCTCCAAGTTACATACCGGCACGCCTGTCTCCGGACTAAACCTCACTTTCACCAATACCAATATCTCCCAGGACACCTTTTACTCAGCAGTAGGCCTCTACCACTCCCTCCTCCCGGCTATTGTCGACGCCGGCGCAATGAGCATCTGGTACTTCACCAACACGACCTTCTACATCGCGCCAATAACGGGGCCCAACATCCCCGTCCAGGAACTCATCTCCCTCCTCAAGCCCTTCCGCGACGGGTTAGAGAAAATGGGCATCAGATACACCCTCTACGCAGAGCAATTCCCGACCTACCTGGCTGAATTCAACGGCATGATGCCCAACATCCCCGTCGGGGAGGCGCAATACGGCGGATGGCTGATCCCGCGATCGGTAGTGCACGAAAATAACACAGCGTTGACGGCGGCGTATCGCCAGATCACGGAGGACGGGGCGACGTTTATCGGGGTGGGATTGAATGTGTCAAAGGCGTTAGTTGGGGATGTGGATAATGCGGTGTTGCCTGCTTGGCGGGATACGTTAATTGATACGACGCTTACGACGCCATGGCAGTGGGATGCGCGCCAGGATATGCTGGTGCAGCAATATAAAATGACTTATGAGTATTTGCCGTTGTTGGAACGGTTGGCGCCGGATTCGGGGGCTTATATGAATGAGGTATTTCCCCCTGCTACTTTTACTTTCCACCTCTATTTATTGCAGATATGAAGAGAAGGCTGACGGAGATGGATAGGGCGACTTCCGCCAACCCAATTTTCAGAAAGCATTTTACGGAGTGAATTATCCCCGCCTACGACAGATCAAGAAGACATATGACCCGCTCGATGTGTTTTATGCCCAAACGGCTGTGGGTTCGGATGAGTGGACGATGTATCCTGATGGGAGGTTATGTCGGGTTTCAACTTCTGATGATAATACGGATGGTTGGGAGTATTTCTGAATGCATTTATTAATTTATTTAGTATTTTATGATGTTTATTTATTTTACTTTGTTTGGGCATTTTGTTCATAAGTACATACATCCTTAGTTAGATTTTATACACGTCTTCCTCATGAGTGGCTGGGTAACTTGCCCGTGCACCATACTTACCCACTACCTATAAAGTAAGTAAGTACTCGGGGACCTGCCTAATCTTATTTTATTTTTATTACCGTGTTAACTCTGGGAGGATTAGTAGGTGGCTGCCAGGTTTGCGGACTTGATCGGGTCGGGTGTCGGATTGTCGGGTATTTTACTTTTTACTATATGCTGTATGCTGTAAGCTGTGGTCCGTACGGAGTACACTCTGCTGGTGGTGGGAAATGAGATGTGCATGCACGGATGGGGAGGAGATTGGTGGTGGTGATGCTGCGGGAATAATTAATAGTGCTATAATAGTGTGTGTTATAGCTAGGGTGTCCTAGTCAAGAAGTGAGTTAGTACTGTGCGCCTCACTTGTGCAGGGGGGATAGCAGAAGAAAAGAAAGAAAGAATGACAATAATTGGCATAATAATCATTGTTGGATCGGATCATCATGGTTGAATAAACCTAATCAGTTTACTGTTTTAAGGGTATGATGGTGATGCTGTGTACAAAGTACGAAGAAAGAAAGAAAGTTGAAGGAGGAGAAAGTCGGTTACGTCCACATCCACATGAACAGAACATGAACATGAACATGCCATGCATGCATGCTCAGGTCCCCGACACATACACACATAACCGCCCAAGGCAGATAGATAGATAGATGGATGCCATGGTTCCTCCGGTGTTGGATGATGATCGACACTCCCCCAACTAAAATTAATGTCCACTAGACAAGGGCCTCCCCTGCTAGTTTGCTTCCTACTTCTTACTTCCGGCTACACCGACTAATTCCTACCCTACACACACAGAGAGAGCAGAAACCCCGAAAGTCCTTCTAATTAGTTACCCAAAAGCTCACACTGAGTTCTTTTCCGGCGAGTATGATTCGTGTGTTTATCCCCGACGCGATCGGGATATGAAATCACCAAAGATGCGGTACCGTGGATGATAGCTTTTGAAGGTTTAAACCTTGTTTAGTGTTATGATGGATTATGAATATGGATGTTGTGGTGACAGCATGGGATTATTCGGTGAGATGAGATATGAACTAATCAATAATAATAATACCCTTGTCCTTGTTTTGTCTTTCTTTCTGTGCACATTGCTTTTGTTCTCTACACTAGTTTTACTTAGCTGTCTATCTCCTTGGTAGTTAGTGGACATGATCCGTGCCCTAATTAGTCTGCATAAAGTGGAACCCGCGCATTGACCGAGACTTGACCTTTCCCACCTATCATTATTTCCCCCCTTCCTCGTGCACCTCCTCCATGCAGGCACATGCGTATCTCATCACGAGCCAGCGTCAGGCTCTAGCATTATGCAGAGGAGAAAAAAAGAAATGAAAAATAGTACTAAACTCTCATTAGCCTCTGCACACGAACCAGACCTCCACTCCCGGCTGTGTCCTGTTCTGTTCTGGTCCGGGTGCGGCCGTAGACCGTAGATTGAGTTCAGATCAGGTCTGGGTCGACACATCATCCATCAAAGATTCCTAATTCCTTATTTGCATAATAAATTTCAGGAGATTGGGGAGGTAAGTAGGTTAGGTTAGGTAGGGTACTTAGTGACATAGCGGTAAACACTTTTTCTTCTTACCTATCCTCTTTTTCTTTTTTCCCTTTCTTTCTTTTCTGCAGGGGTGGGAGAGAATGTACTTTCTTGCATTTGCGTATTCATCATATATTAACAAACCCCATCGCTCAGCTCCGCCCCCTCGATTCTGAAGCTGATTTCTTTGGGCTGTTCTTTAGATGGATAATTGATGATTGACTTCAACATGCCGAAATGGGCTGGGTCTACAATCTGACCGTCCCTGATCCCCACAGTCATGTCTCTCGCGTCATTGTCATCTGTCTCGTTTTCTCAATTACGGCTTGTTTGGCGGTCTTCTTGAGATTGTATATTCGCATTCATACGAAGAGGTCCGCCTGGTTGGATGATTTCGCGGCGCTATGGAGTGCCTTGCTGGCGATGACGTATGCTGGGATTGCTGTTGCGCGTGAGACATTCCTTTCTTCTCTTCACCATGTTGATATACTAGATATGCTGATGGGTTGTGACAGAAACAAGATGGGGTCTAGGTCTAGATGCGAAATACTTCCCTGATCAGAACGTGGTCATGTTCAGCAAGGTACATACATTACCCTACTAGCTTACATCAACCTGGATTAATGGCTAATGATGTATGTAGATCCAATACGCCGGTGGCCCCGTCTACACGCTTGCATTACTCGGATTCAAAGTCTCCCTGCTGTCATCGTACCTACGCATCGGGGGCTTCGTGCAGGCCTACCGTGTGACGATCATCGTGGCTATTGTGGCGGTGACCTGCAATCAGTTGGTGTTTACGTTTTTGCTGTTGTTTGCTTGTAATCCGGTATGTCTCTCCTTCATTAATTATTCGATAGTATATACTAATAAGGTATCTGTAGGTTGCTCGTCAATGGGATACAAGTCTCCCTGGATCATGCATAGATACGGTAGCGTCTTATTATGGTATGCTCTACCCCATATACCCAACATATACTAAATAATATACTAACGATGAATCAGCTCTCGCAGGTAACCACCTCCACCACTCTCACCACCACATATCTACATCAGGAGAATGGAAATTAAGTATAACAGGAACCAGTCTCGGCTTCGACATAATCATAATTGCCCTGCCCCTCCCCGTCCTCCTCACTCTCCAACTGCGTCTTCGCCAGAAGGTATATCCCCTCCCTGCCCCCTACTCCTACTCCCATGACCCCAACAAACCCATTCTAACAGAAGATGTATAGATAGCCCTCGTCGGCGTCTTCGCCCTCGGCTTCTTCATAACCATAATTCAAATAATCCGGATCTTCACAATCAAGAACCTAAAAACCTACACAGACAGCCAACCTATCGTCATCTGGTCAGATGTGGAAATCAGTTTGGGCGTATGTCCCCATCCAATTCCCCCCTTCTTACCTCACCTTTACCCACCCTTCTTCCCACTCCATCCACCTTGATCTTCAATACTAATAGACAAATCCAATGAAGGTAATATTAACCTGCATCCCAACCTACGGCCCCTTCTTCCACGCCTTCGCATCCACCCTATCATCCAGCTACAACAACAACCGCACACATACCACCAACAACACGTACAATAACCCGCATAATACCTACGCTACGCTGACGTATCTGACGTCGCCGACGACAACCACGAGTACGTCGTATCCGTTGCGAAAGACGCAGACGCGGAATACCACTGCTAGTTCGATAGTCACCAACAATGGGGGGCGGAAGAAGAGTCGTGATCTTGTGGATGCGAGTTTGGATGAGGTTGCTCGGGGGTTAGGCATGGGTGGATTGGAGTTGGGGCTGGAGAGTGGGATGTTGTTTGGGACGAGTGGGAGTGAGGAGGGACGGTCGGTGAGGAGTAGGAGTCGGAGTCGGAGTAGTTGTGGTGGTGGGAGAGGGAGGAGTTGTAGTCCGAGTGGTGGGTATGGAGGGGTGTGGGATGGGAGCGGGGTGGCGCCGACGACGACGACGATTTGTAGTTTGCCGGCTGTGGCGAGGGTGAGGGAGGGAGGGTTTGGGAATGGTGGTTGTGTTGATGAGGATATGTTGGAGGCTGGGGTTGGGGGAGGGTTTGGGGTGAGTGCGGTTGGGGGTGGGAGTTCGAGTAGTATGGTTACGGGGAGTGCTGGGGTGAGTGGGAATGGCAATGGGAATGGAAATGGGAATGGGTGGAGGATTCAGAAGATTATGGAGGTTAGGGTTGAGAGGGAGTGATCTCTCTCTCTCTCTCTCTCTTTCTCTAGGTGATAATGGAGTAATATGGGTATAACGAGATATGACTTCTAAATGATGCTTGCTTACTTCAGGCTAGATACAACAGTCAATATACCAACTCACTTGCCAACCAGTCCCTTCAGGTTGATACTCTTCGGTCGCTCGATCGGCAGTCCCAAGGCCCGGTCCCAAATCAACTGCACCAAGGGTCCCAGGGCACGACTCACGCCGAAGGTTACCGTGTAGTACAGCGGCTGCTGGAAGCCATAGTGGTAGAACAGCACGCCAGAGGCGGCGTCCACGTTGGGATGGGGGTTCTTCGTCTATGATGTGTTAGTTTGATATTAGCTAAACAAGTGGTGGACAGGTGCATACCTTGCCATGCTGCGTCAGCACCTCTGGCGCAATCTCCGAGTTCTTCTTCACCAGTTGGAACACCGGGTTCGCCTGCACGTCTGCCCGTGTCGCCGCAAAGTCCATCAATGCCTCGAATCGCGGGTCCGGCTTGCGCAGCACGCCGTGTCCGTAGCCCGGCACCACACGTCCCGACTTCAACGTGTCCCAGAGGTACGTGCGCACCGACTCGTCCGTCACCTGAGTGCCAATCTTCTCCTGCATCGCCAAAATCCACCGCAGTACCTCCTGCGCCGCCAGTCCGTGCAGCGGGCCGGCCAGACCCAGCAGTCCTGCGCTGTAGCTGAGGAACGGGTCGCTGAGGGCACTGCCCACCAGATGCGTCGCGTGTGCTGAGACGTTGCCGCCCTCATGGTCGCCGTGCAGCGCCAGGTACAATCGCAGCAGGTCGTGGAAGTCGCTATGCTCGGCTCCACCCTTGCCAAGCAGTTCGGCAAAGTTGTGCGACCAGTCCTGTGTCGCGTCGAGAGCCTGTGTGCCGACCTGGTCGATCTCGTTCGGTCTGAACACCAATGCAGCCACACGTGGAATCTTAGCCAGCAGGGAAATGCTGTCGTCGAATGTGGGCTCCCAGTAGTCTGCCTTGTTCAGGCCGCGCTCGTACGCCTTGGCGAAGGTCGACTCCGTGTTCAGTGCTGCAACCGCCACCGACAGCTGCGTCATTGGGTGCATGTCCTTGGGGAATGACTTGATCAGGCCCAGGATGTGGTCGGGGAGATGCGATTTCTCGGCAAGCTCGCGAGAGAATGCGCGCACCTGACTGGTGGTGGGAACCTGGCCGGTCAGGAGCAGCCAGAACATGGCCTCGGGGAGCATTTCAGTTCCCGTGGTCCCCTTGGGCAGTTCACGCTGGCAATCCTTGATGGTCTTGCCGTGGAAACGGATACCCTCCTCGGGGTCGAGAACGGATCCCTCCCAAAGCATGGACTTCAGGCCGCGCATGCCGCCGATAATGTTGCCCACCTTGACTTCGCCGACCACATCGTCGCTGCGGGCTTTGACCTGCTTGAAGAGCTCGCGCTTCTCGGGAATGACGGATTTCAGGGCGGTTTTAAGGTCGGATTCGGTGCTGTAGAACCGGCCGGAGCGGATCTTGACCTGGGGTTGTCAGCAGTGATTGGCAAGCTATCAAGGGGGAGGGGCGTACCTGTGCCAGCCGGCTGGCATGGCGGGTTGTTGGACGTATCGGCAGGGAGAAAGACATGATAAGAGTTCTGGAAGGCTGAATGTGCCAGCAAAGACGAGAGAGAGAAAGGATTATGTACACAGAGCAGAGTACAAAGCAGAGTCACGAGAAATTCACCGGGGAGGAGGGCGAGTGGCCGTCGGTTGGCCGCGGTGTTGAGGAGCCGAGGCAAGGAACGGCTGCATGCGGACGGTCAACACAATCAGCAATAAGCAGTCAGCGTCTATCCACCCTCAATTGTTGCACATCCTCACCGCCGATGCAAGACCGAGCCGGCTGTCGGACTAAATCGGTAGTGTGCAGTAGAGCGCGCGCTGCCTCTTTAGTTATCATCATGGTGTAATTAGATCCATTTGGCTGCAGATCCCGTGTCGCCGTGCCTCGGGGGGACCTCTGTGAGGGGTCGATCGTAGACTGCGGTGAGGCGACATCGGGGCAGAGGGAGATCCAACCGAGAGAGCAGGAAAGTGAGTTTGTCCCATGCATTCCCTTCACAAGGCCATGGGAATGGAACGATGGGATGTTCGGGACAAGCAAAGGGAAGAAGGGGAAGCTGATCCTCCCAATTGCAAGTTGCAACTCAGTGGATGCGAGACTCCATTTTTGGTCCGCCGAGTGGAGCCCCCGTGCGGGGTAGGCCCAATCGGGCAACGGCGGCGTTATTGAGGCCTGAGGCATTACATACAAGAATTCAGGCAGAAACTGACTTTGAACGACACCTGAGGTTTCAGGCAATAATGATGGAGGAAATGACACCTGATTCATCAGGCTATCAAGGGATCAACACCGCCACAGCTCAGCCACGCGTGCCTGGATGATAGGCTGTCAGCCCCTCGCCTCAGGCAGAGATTTCATCGCCGCCCGATCCAATGGGCCGCCGCCTAAAAATCCTCAGGCTCGTTATCGGCCCCGCCTCCATCTTGTTTTTCCTCTTTGCGCTCGCCTTTCAACTTCCCTCGCCTCTCCTCTCCTCTCTCCCCCAAATCTCCCCTCTTTGTTTCTTCTTCTCCTTGTTGTATACCCCGTTCTGTTTCTCTGTTTATACGCATCCTCGCCGAGGATTGCCCACTAAAAGTTTTGGTATCTTTTCTTTTTTTCGTCTTTTTCTTTTCCGCTTTTTTTTTTTCTCAGCCTGCCCGCCGCCCCCGCCGGTGTGAGAGGCCCAGAACCCCCAAACCCACAGATCCTACGATATCATGCCTCATCCTGAAGATCCCACTCCAGCCATGACTACCGTCGTTTCCAAGACCCCCTCCGGCGTTCCTCCCACTGCGGATGAGGTCAACTCCATCCTGAACACCATCTTTCAGGCTGAGACCTCTCAGCAGGCGCTCGATGCCTCCTACGCCCTCACCAACCTGTTGATCCAGAGTGTCGGCTGCTCCGGTTTCCGTACATACAACATCCTGCCCCCGATCAAGAAGGCTGCTACCGACAAGAAGAATGGCGCCCTCCGCGAAAGTTCCATGCTCATTTTGGGCGCCCTCTTTGAGCGATTCCCCCGCGAACACCCTCTGAGCGAAGTCGTCTTCCTTCTGCAGGACGGCGGTGTCCTGAACCTGGCCCTCGATCTGCTGGCCGACAAGGGTGCTGTCGTGCGCGATGCTGCTCAGTACGCTATCGATGCGCTGTTTGCCTGCCTCAAGCCCGAGGCTTTGGTCAACGCCCTTCTTCCCGCCCTCTCCGCCTATCTCAACCAGAACACAGCCAAGTGGCAGGGTTTCGTCGGTGCCTACAGCCTCATCGAGAAGATGGCTACCAAGTCGCAAATGGGCACTGGATCCCTGGACGAGGAGCGCGAGAAGGACCTTTTGCGCGAGGCCATGGGCAAGACCCTGAAGGATCTGATCCCGTTGGTCGAGTCCGGCATGCACGACCTGAAGAACGAGGTCGCTAAGAAGGCCATCAAGGCTATGAATGCTCTCACTACTCTTCTGTCCAACGACGACGTGGCTCCCCGCATTCCCCTTTTGATCAAGACCATGGAGCAGCCATCCGAGCAGACCTTGCAGAAGGCCATCCACGCCCTGTCCCAGACTACCTTCGTCGCCATCGTCACCTCCCCCGTCCTCGCTCTGCTCACGCCTCTGCTCGAGCGTTCTCTTAACGCCCCTACGACTCCCCAGGAGACCCTGCGTCAGACTGTCGTCGTCGTGGAGAACCTCACCAAGCTTGTCCACGACCCCGCCGAGGCTCGTACTTTCCTGCCCAAGCTGAAGCCCGGTGTCCAGCGCGTCAAAGACCGTGCCTCCCTGCCCGAAGTTCGTGAGCTCGCCACTCGTGCTTTGGATGTCATCGAGAAGGCTATGGCCGATAAGGATGTTGCTGCTGGTGTGGTTGTGAAGATCACCCCGGAGGAAGTCCTGGCCGTGCTGGAGGCCAAGATCCAGGAGCACGGCGGCCTGGCCCGCCCTGAGGACGCCACCTTGTTTGCTCTGGGTAAGAACTATGTCGCCGAGATGGTTCGCGAGGATGTCAACTGCCGCATGCACGACCGTATTCCCGCCTGCATTGCCCCGTACCTCCGCGGTCTGCTGCACGAGGACAAGCATGACGCTGTCGCCGCCGCCGTCCAGGAGCACTTCGTCGAAGAGGACCACCGCAAGTTCGGCAAGCCCATTCCCGACGACCCCAATGAGGTCGAGATCGTCAACGCCAACTTCTCTCTGGCCTACGGTGGTATGCTTCTGCTGTCCCACACCAACCTTCGTCTGCTGAAGGGTCACCGCTACGGTCTGTGTGGTCGCAACGGTGCTGGTAAATCGACGCTCATGCGCAGTATCGCCAACGAGAAGCTGGAGGGCTTCCCCCCGCAGAGCGAGGTTCGTACCTGCTTCGTCGAGCACAACCAGGGCGAGGATGCCGATCTGAGCATCTTCGAGTACGTCTCCAAGGATCCCATGATTGCTGCCGAAGGCGAGGAGCACATCCGTAGCGTGTTGCTCGAATTCGGCTTCACGGACGGTCCCGAGGGCCGTCAGAACCAGCGTGTGGGCTCCCTGTCTGGAGGTTGGAAGATGAAGCTCGCTCTGGCTCGTGCCATGCTGCGCAAGGCCGATGTCCTCCTGCTGGACGAACCTACTAACCACTTGGATGTGGCCAACGTCAAGTGGCTCCAGGAGTACCTGAAGAAGCACACTGATATCACCAGTTTGATCGTCTCTCACGATTCCGGCTTCCTCGATGAAGTCTGCACGGATATCTACCACTACGAACAGAAGAAGCTGGTCTGCTACAAGGGTAACTTGGCTGAGTAAGTACTCCGTGCCGTTGATGTATACATCACACTAACAGTAGACAGTTTCGTCAAGGTCAAGCCCGAGGCCAAGAGTTACTACACCCTCTCGGCTAGCATCGTTCAATTCAAGTTCCCTCCCCCCGGTATTTTGGCTGGTATCAAGTCCAATACTCGTGCCATCCTCCGCATGACCAACTGCACCTACACCTACCCCGGCGCCAGCAAGCCTTCTCTGAGTGATGCGTCCCTGTCTCTGACTCTGTCGTCCCGTGTTGCTATCATTGGTGGTAACGGTGCCGGTAAATCGACCTTCATCAAGATGCTTACGGGTGAAACCATCCCTCAGACCGGTAAGGTCGAGAAGCACCCCAACTTGCGTATCGGTTACATCAAGCAGCACGCCCTGGAGCACGTCGAGATGCACCTGGAAAAGACCCCCAGCCAGTACCTTCAGTGGCGTTACGCCAACGGTGACGATCGCGAGGTGTACCTCAAGCAGACCCGTATCCTCACCGAGGAAGACAAGGCTCAACTGGCCAAGCCGGTCGACCTGGGCGACGGCCGTGGACCTCGTCGTATTGAGGCGCTCATGGGTCGCCAGAAGTGGAAGAAGTCCTTCCAGTATGAAGTGTATGTATTCATCGGATCTTTTCAAAACTGATCATCGCTAATTCATGCAGTAAATGGGTTGGCCTTCTTCCCAAGCACAACACCATGATCTCCCGTGAGACTCTGCTCAACCTCGGCTTCTTCAAGCTCGTACAAGAGTTCGACGACCACGAGGCGTCGCGCGAGGGTCTTGGTTTCCGTGTGCTCGACCCCAAGGTCATCTCGAAGCACTTCGAGGACATTGGTCTGGATCCCGAGATTGCCAACCACAACGAAATCTCCGGTCTGTCCGGTGGTCAGAAGGTTAAGGTCGTGTTGGCGGGTGCTATGTGGAACAACCCTCACTTGCTCGTCCTGGACGAGCCGACTAACTTCTTGGACCGTGACTCCCTGGGTGGATTGGCTGTGGCCATCCGTGACTTCAAGGGTGGTGTCGTCATGATCTCTCACAACGAAGAGTTCGTGGGCGCTCTCTGCCCCGAGCAGCTGCACGTCGCCGACGGTCGCATCGTCTCTCGCACCAACACCGCCATCTCGCTCGACCGGTTCGAGGACAGCGCTGCCAGCTCTCCTCAGCCTGGCAGCACGGCCGTCAACTCTACCGCCACGAGTGCGGCTGCCTCGGCCGTCAACTCGGGAGCGGAGGAGCAGGGCGAGCTGAAGTTCAAGGCTAAGAAGAAGAAGAAGCTCACCCGTGCTCAGTTGAAGGAGCGTGAGGCCCGCCGCCGTCTCCGTCATCTTGAATGGTATGTCTCACTCTCTTGTCTTAAAGTACTTCTCCCTTACTGACTCTCGCAGGCTCCAATCGCCCAAGGGCACCCCCAAGCCCCCGGATACTGATGACGAGGAGTAAATGCATTGTTAAGTTATGATTTTGTTTGCATCGGCAGCGGTGTGATTAGACATGTTCTGGCTTTGGTTCCTTATAGACGGCTGGTTTATTGCTTGATTAATGAGGCTTGACGAGTATATAGATGTAGACTTGCTCTGAATGAACTTTTTGCACATGACTTTCGTCTCAAATCGATAGTAAACAAATAGTTCGATGTTGTGTTACCACGTGTGTCCACGTGCCTGTGCGTCCCCGCTGCTACTTCATGCTGTTGCTGTGTGCGACTCTTTGTTTCTGCACAGGCTGGTGATCTCATCGTGAAGTCGGGCACAACCTTGCCAATGAAAGCGGGGATGCTCAGTACGGCCTCGCTCACGTCCTTGGCAACCTCGGGGTCTCCGGAGCTGACCGACAGATTGTTATCCCCCTCATGCAACTGGCTGTGTTTCTCGATCATCCGAGGAGATCGGC